TAAGAAAAAAAGAAAAAACAGAAAAGAAAAAAATACAAACGATCATAATAAAATAGGGGGGATGTTCAAACAATATGGAAATCCATAAAACTCTCCTTTCCTCAGTGCAATTGCACCCTCCCTTAACAGTCAGACAACTGACGTTCCAGACCTCTTCCTGTGCTTTTCCTAAAAATGCCGTCCATGGGCGAGGGGCGAGGGGTGGAAAGAAAAGAGAAAAAAAGAAGGTGCTTGATGTGTTTTTACATAAATGAGACCTTACTGCACATACATTAGCGGCACTATGAGCTTCCGCGGTATGGATATGCTCCAGTGTCTTAATCAATACTCGAGTGATGCATTCGGGTGGTTTCCAATTCTTTTTCTCCACCCTAAGCGCTTTATTTATTCTGCTCCTCACAAGACCCCTGAAAGGTGCGCGCGCCATTCTCATCCTCTGGTGAGGGCCAGGACTCACCAGGGTCGCTCAGCAGGACACGGCAGGCAGGAAGGCAAGCCGGCCGGAGCCCCGCGGTGTCCCCCGCAGCCTCGCCCGCGGGACGGGCGACGATCGTGCAGGGGCGTCTGCCTGGGGACCGAGCAGGCAGGGCGGTGCAGGGGTCCCAGCACTTCCTAGCAGTGCGCGCACCCTCCGGCCTCTGCCTCGGGACGCTGATCCCGGCCACCCGGAGACGGGTGCTGGATGTCGGAGCTCAGCAGCCAAGCCCGGGTCCCCGCCCCCGAAACACAGTACGCCAACGGCGGTCCAGAAGATCCCACTTCCGCCGCCAGCTCCCGGCGCCGGAAGTCCTCGCGGGTCTCGCCGGGAAACTACGCAGCGCATGCGCTGGGGCAAGCACGGGCCCCCTCCATTCCCCGGTTACCAAAAAGCCGTTAGTTATCTGAGCCCGCCTTCTCCCTGACTGATGGCCAATGAACAGGAAGAATTCTCAGGCTGGCTATTAGAAGACGGAAATCCCATACGCGTCATACACCTGCATCCGGGCGGAAAGGTGAGGTTCTGAGTCTAGGTTTGCTCAGTTCTTCGTCTCTGCTTTTGATTCACATTTTCCTGCGCCTCTGGCCCTTGAGCGGCAAAAAGGGGAAGCCAAGGCTGGCCCGAGGAGCGGAGAGGGCACATGGTCTAGCCGCCAGTGGAGTGCCTGCTCCGCCGGAAGGGATGCGCTAGAGCGACCTCTTCCTTCAGCCACCGTCTTTTCTAAACCAACTAGTAGGTGAGGGCCGAGAGGCCGCGGACCGGGAGCTGGAGCTCGGACCGGGGAGACTCCTTTCCAGCCTCTTGGGTCCCGCTTCTCCCAATTCCCTGGAGAGGCGTGGAGCTTCCTGGGAAATGCCATCGGGTAAGGAGCGCGGAGCCTCCTGCCGCGATCCCCTGTGTGGGGTCGCCTTAGAAGGACGCAGGAAGCGGGACGCTGACCTGGCCGGAGTCCCGCGCTCTCCCACTAGCGGCTTCGTTCACGAGGAGCTGCGGGGCAGCAGGGATTCCGGGGCCCGGAGGGATCCAGAACATAGGGGCTCGGGGTTCTCTTTTCCATAATCTCGGATCCTCTCCCACTCTCTTCACGCCTCGACCGGGAGATGATCTCAGGCTCCAGATCTCTTTCTGAAATGGAAAGAGGTTTCTTGTCTTCTTTTAATTTTGCAGGAATTACATGCTTGGAAGAGAAAATTAAGAAAATTAATTTGGGAAAGCATAAAGCTATCTTTCTTGTGGTAGCCACAAGGCTTGCTGTCTCACTATGCTCATAATATCACCCCCTCAAAGAGGCCTTCCCCAGCTCTGTAAAGAGCCAAACAGCCTCGGCTCTGCCTTATTTTTCTCCTTAATGTTTATCACTACCCGACATTATGTACTTGTGTAATATTTGTTTCCCACGACTCAACGATCAGTGTCCGTGAGGGCAGACACTTTTTTGGGGGTGTTGGGGGGTGGGGACAGAGTCTCCCTCTCAGGCTGGAGTGCAGTGGTGCGGCCTTGCTCACTGCAACCTCCGCTTCCCAGGTTCAAGCGATTCTCCTGCCTCAGCCTCCTGAGTAGCTGGGAGTACAGGCACCTGCCACCACGCCTAATTTTTTGTATTTTTAGTACAGATGGGGTTTCACCGTGTTAGCCAGGATAGTCTTGATCTACTGACCTTGTGATCCGCTCGCCTCAGCCTCACAAAGTGTTAGGATTACAGGTGTGAGCCACCATGCCCAGCCCTGTGAATATATTTCTAATACAAATCAGGAATTGCTCCATAATGTTTTGTTGACACAATAGTACATCAGGGATATCTTTCCACATCAGCATGTATAAATACAATTCATCTGTTTTGCAAGCTGATAGTATTTAATACAACGGAATTTTCATATTTTAAGTCCCCTACCCTTGGACATTTCGATTGATTCCATCTTTATGTATTTGCAAATATGCTTCTACAGATACCTTTATACATTTCCTTGAACATTTCCCTGAGAAAAACTATAAAGAGAATTACCAAATTACTTTGTGTACTTATTTCCAAACTGTCCTCCAGAAAGAATGTAACACTTTGAACTTCCCCTTGAAAATCAAATGTTTACCTTCCTGTATTTCTCCTGATTCGGACATTTACAGTGTTCAGCTGTTGTTGTGGTCATTCCAGTTCAATTGGGAAACAGCTTGATGTAGCGTCCCCATAAGTTCCACAGTAATAAATATTAAACTTTTTGGGGGTTTTTTTAGTGCAGTGGTGCAATTTCATGGCTCACTGAAACCTCCACCTCCTGGGTTCAAGCAGTCCTCCCACCTCAGCCTCCTGGGTAGCTGGGATTACAGATGCCTGCCACCACACCGGGCTAATTTTTGTATTTTTAGTAGAGATGGGGTTTCACCACGTTAACCAGGCTGCTCTTGAACTCCTGACCTCAAGGGATCGCCTACCTCAGCCTTGCATAGTGCTGGGATTACAGATGAGAGCCACCACACCCATCCTATTAAACTTTTAAATTATGATAGTTACCATGTGTAGAGTGTTTATATGTCAGGCACTGACCTAAGTACTTTACATATCCTGCTTATTTTGTGCAACAGCCTAATGGGAGAAATTCCATGAATATAGTTAACCATTTCCTTGATTTCTAGGGAAGTTGGATATGTTTTCTTTTCTCAGGTATTATTTCTATTTATCCTTTTGTGAATTGCCTGTTATTGTTTCCTGTTATTTCCGTTGGGATATTCTTGATGTATTTGATTTTATATATTAAGGATGTGTGAGCACAGTCTGATACTCGAGTATTTTATTTGTTGAAGACATTGACCTACCCTTTAAAATATGCTACAAGTATTTTCTCATATTGTGGTTTATCTTTTGATACCAATCACACGCTGGGATGTAGGTTTTTATTCCAACAAAGGAGTTTTAAATATTGAAGCTCTCACTCTTTTCTCATATGGTTGATTCCATTGAAGTCTGACTAAAGAGCTATTGTACTCTAATGTTGTATTTTTCGGTTTTATTTATTTATTTTTTGAGCCAGAGTCTTGGCCTGTTGCCCAAGCTGGTGTGTGAGCTCTGCTCCCTGCAACCTCCACCTCTCAGGTTCAAGTGGTTCTCCTGCCTCAGCCTCCCAATAGCTAGGATTACAGACATACACGCTACAATGCTGGCCTGATTTTTGTATTTTTAGTACAGACAGTGTTTCACCATATTGGCCAGGCTGGTCTCTAACTCCTCACCTCGGGTGATCTGCCGGCCTCAGCCTTCCAAAGTGCTGTGATTACAGGTGTGAGCCACTGCGCCTGGCTGACTTCTCGTTCTTACTTCACTAAATTCTATCATATAGTGTTCTATTGTACAGTAGGGTGACAGCAGTTAACAGTAAGGTATGCTTCAAAATATCTGGAAGAGAGGATTTTGAATGTTCACACTGTTACCAGGAATTCTGCATTAGGATAGATCGTTTGACTGAGGACATCAACAGGGCTGGAACCAACAATCTTGGTTCTTGTAATAGCAAGCAAAGAATTGCAAACTAACACCAAAATGCAGGCTCAAAGCAAAGTGTATTGAAGCACAGTACCACTCAGACGGAGAGTGGGCTGATGTCTGTGATATGAAGCCAGCAGCTCTTTAGGAAAACTCAAGGTGCTTTTAAAACTCCTGGGGTTTGTGGCGAGGAGTTGAGGTTTGGGCTATGTAAAAATGACAGGATGATGTTATTATAACTAAAGTTAAACTGCTCGTGTTTTTACCCATAATTTGTTAAGAAAAGTGTGGGGTGGGGCACAAAACCACATGTAAATTTTATTAAAATGATGGCATACTGAGCTTGGCATGAACTTGAAGATACGATTCTATGTTGCTGGATGTGCACCGCTTTAGAGGACCTCCACCT